AGTTAATACTAATTAAATAAAACATCATTTACTGTAATTTTCATTTCAAACATTTTTTCCTTTATAAACCTTTAGCCTTTCAATATATGCAAATAGAACCTTTTGTTCTTTATTTGATGATTAAATTGTTTGCCAGTAGATTAACACCTTGAATAATTAAAGATATTGCGAATTGAAATACATCAAATTTAAATTACGATCTTCTGAAATTTTCTGAAATTTATGTTTATTTCGCTTAGTTTGTTTAATGAAAACGCCCTTCTCCCTCAAACTTTTCGGACGTTAAACAAACAATCAAGTTGAGACAACCCCAGTATTGGTCACTTAATGATCGAACTATAACTCCATCTAACAGCTATTGTAACTTCAGCCGGAATTAAGATCTTCATAGTTATGGCCAAAATTAATCAACAATTGTACCCGATCATGTGTTCCCAGTATATCTAATTCGATTTCTTTCGTAAAATAATCTAAAAAAACAAATTTAATTAAATTAACGGAATAATTAAATAAGTTAATACTTATTAAATAAAACATCATTTATTGCTGTAATGTTCATTTCAAACATTTTCCTTTATAAATCTTTAGCCTTTTTTTAGAATATGCAAATATGCAAATAGAACATTTGTTCTTTATTAAGGCCAAAAATTCAAATTAAATAATGATGATATAATAAAAATTTTGATATATAAGCCCATTGTACTAAAGTTTAATTTTTTTCATTATTGTCTTCAAACTGAAACATTCTCAAAACATTCTTTTTATTAATATAGACAATAATTGATTAATTAAATTTCGAATAAATATTACGTTATTTTCTTGATAATGAAATTGATCTAGTAGTAAACAATAATTGTTTAAAAATAAATTAAAATTAAAATTTTCTTACAATAAAAAAAATAATCTTTAACGACGACAATATAATAAATAAATTTTAAAAAATGATTAAATTGTTTACCGGTAGATTGAACATCTTGAATAATTAAAGATTTTGCAAATTGATAGACCGTTCCAACTTGATTGTTTGTTTAACCCCTTTATTTTTTTAAAAAAATCTTATCACAGCATATATGTTTTAAATATCCCTTCAAATTTAAATTACGATCTTCATGAAATTTTCTGAAATTTATGTTTATATTTCGCTTAGTTTGTTTAATGAAAACCCCCCTCCCCCTCAAACTTTTCGGACGTAAACAAACAATCAAGTTGAAACAACTTCAGTATTGGTCACCTAATTATCGAACTATAACTCCATCTAACATCTATTAATTATATCAGTAATTTTCCCGGAATTAAGATCTTCATAGTTATGGCCAAAATTAATCAACAATCGTACTTGATTACGTGTTCCTATATATTCGAACTACAATATATCGAGTAATTCCTAATTCGATTTCTTTCGTAAAATAATCTAAAAACATAAATTTAATTAAATTAACGGAATAATTAAATAATTTAATACTAATTAAATAAAACATCATTTACTGTAATTTTTCATTTCAACCTTTAGAATATGCAAATATGCAAATAGAACCTTTGTTCTTTATTAAGGCCAAAAATTCAAATTAAATAATTATGATATAATAAAAATTTTGGTATATCAGCCCATTGTACTAAAGCTTAATTTTTTTCATTATTGTCTTCAAACTGAAACATTTTCAAAACATTCTTTTTATTAAATTAAATTCTGAATAAATATTACGTTATTTTCTTGATAATGAAATTGATCTAGTAGTAAACAATTGTTTAAAAATAAATTAAAATTAAAATTTTTTTTTACAATAAAAAATAATCTTTAACGACAACAATAAAATAAATAAAATTTAAAAAATGATTAAATTGTTTACCGGTAGATTGACATCTTTGAATAATTAAAGATGTTTGCGAATTGAAACATATGATATCTTAGACCGTTCCAATTTGATTGTTTGTTTAACCCCTTTATTTTTTTTTTAAAAAAAAAAATCTTAATTTATCACATTTATTATGTTTTTTCAAATTTAAATTACGATCTTCCGAATTTTCTGAAATTTATGTTTATTTCGCTTAGTTTGTTTAATGAAAACTCTCCCCTCCCCCTTCAAACTTTTTCGAACGTTAAACAAAAAAAAAATCAAGTTGAAATAATATTAAATGTCCTACCTTTATAAAATGATGTTTATTGCTACGAGTATCTGATATATGTATTGACAAAATCGGAAATAACATTGTTTTAATTGATTAAGAATCGTCTTTAATTGGTTAATTTCCTTTAAGGTTATACATTTGTTTTATTTCTTACATATCTTTCATTTGAGTTTTGAGTTTTTGTATCGTTTGACTTAAAAAAGAAATTTTAATAATGTTAATATAAATGTTTCAATTTTTATATCAATTATATCAATTATATAATATTCATTTTTCTGTATAGAAACTTCTATAATTTGTTCAAAAGAAAAATTTTCCAACCCATTTTATATTAGTCCAAAGACCCAAATTTCTTGAAACATGTTTCACAAACTACAACTTACATTGTATTATGCGGCGCAGTCGAAAACAATAGAATATCACGTGACTCAACAACCTTGGGACCGAATATTATGGTAAATTGAAACATTAACATTTTTCTAAATAATAAATAATTCGATATTAAGGGCATACATATAAAGGAATTTCAATTTTTCAATTTTTCATATTGTAAATATGAATGAAAACAAATACGAATGAAAAAAAATATTTTTTCTTTAAAAAAATAAAAAAAATAAAAAAAATAATCATATATAATAATTATTGAACATAACCGTCTGTAAAAAATATAACACTTTGAAAAAGTAATGGTTATTCTTATATTTGTTTATTTTTTTCACCCGAAAAAAAAAATGATACAAAATATTAAATTAATGTAAACAGTGTACCCGTGCTCTTACAAATTAGTTGTCAATCATGTCGGTCAGTGTACACTGAACAATAACAAATAATTTGATTAGCACAAAAAATTTTACATTATAACACCAAATATGGAAATTTCGCCAAAAAAATCCATGAAAAAAAAAGAATTTTCAAAAATTAATAAACCATATATAATAAATACAATTATTCATATGGTTAAACAAACGTATTTTTTTAGAAAAAGAAAAAATTAAAAAAAAAATACAATAATAGGATTAATGGATGAATCGAATTAAGATAACTAAGATTTTGAACGAGTTTTTTTTATAAATAAATAAATAAATAAATAAATTAAATTTCATAAATTGAATAAGATCTTAAATCCATGAATATATGCGTCATTAATAAAAATTAAATGACTTCATTTCCATTTAAATGAAAAAAGGTATTAATCCAATAACACACACATTTTTTTTTTCTCAATCACATTTTTTTTTTAAATTTATCGTTCATGGTCTAAATTTCTTTTTTTAATTGGATGATCATCGAAAGAAAGTTCTGTGCTACAATATAAAAATAGATTAATGATGGATCAACAATTTATTGAAGGTAAAATATATTTTTTTCTAATCACATTACAACCTAAATAAAGCTTTAATATGATATATAAATTTATTTTTAGCTTTTTAGAAAAAAAAAATAAACTAATAAGGAAATGAAGAAAAGTAATATTAAAACACAAAGAAATGAGTTTGAAATTTAGCGGAAAAAAAGAGAGAAGATAATATTAAAAAGAGAAAGAAAAAGGAAAAAGAAATAACAATATATTGTAGATTGTTCGAAACAAGAAAACAAGCTCCGGATACATTGTTATTATTACACCGATTTATATTCCGAGATACTGGGTTGATATGATTGTATCCAGGAGAAATGTCTCATAATGTGTTTAATGTTTCATCATGTTGAAAATCAACTTTAGGCAAGATCGACCGTTTTAGTTCATTCGTTTCATTTCTTAGTTAGAAAAATTATCAATTATTGAGTAAAATAGGAATTCATCGTTAAAAAATGTAATGATTATATTATTGTAATATTGTATTTATTTAAAAAGGAAATCATTGGCCACACTACACGGAGTTATGCAAAAATTTAAAGTTTATCTGATAAAACTATAAAATTTTAAATGATTGGGTCACCTCCTGTATAGTCACATCTAATAATTGTCCATTCTTTCTATTTTGTAAAGTTCCATTTTTTATAAATATCCAAGTTTTCGACCGACGAAGAAATCTTCAGAAAAACTTTTATCTGTACAGTATAACTTTTTTAAAAAAAAATTGTATTTATTTTTCGCACATACGCAAATATTATTATTTCTCTTTAACAAAGATCTTTTTTTTTTAAAAAAAAAAAAAAATTCCAAAAATTTCTTTACTCTTTTTTTCAATTCACCAAGTAGAAAAAATGGAAAACAATAATCTTTTGCAAGATGGATTCTTAAACGAATCTGAACTTACTGAACTCATTAACGATTTTTACAACTATTACGGTAATATAAGTGGTGTACAACCACAAACAACCGATATTCAAGCGCAAAATCCTTCATTAAATACTAATGGTAATAATTGTGATAATACGTATTGCGATTTTATTAACGAACTTTTCGCTATGGATGATGAAGAATATTCGACTTTCGATAACCCTTCTAATCAAAATTACCAACAAACTCCCATAACGCCTATACCGTCTAATGAACAATTTACGAATAATTTTGATTTTATTCCAACTTCGAATCACTGTTTACCACAATCTATCCCAACACAATCTATTCCGGACAATTATTCGTATACATTTAATACTGTTACTTACGACTCTCTTCAAGAAAATACTTCAAATACTTGTGAAATCTTTAAATTTGAGTACAGAGTCATTTCTGTACCGGCTAATTCCCCAATAACTCCGAATACTCTAATTACTACTACTTCGAATATTTTAGAAATGCGACAACTAAATTATTTTTCTTTAAATAATTTGCAAATGCAATCTCAATTATGAATTAAAAATATGTTATTCGCTTTTAAAAAACTTTTTTTATTCGATAGTTTAGATAAAAAAAAAATACGAGGGATATAAGGGATTTTTTTTAAAAAAAGACATTTGGTCGATGCTGTGGTGGAAAAAAAAAAACATTATAATTATCGTAAATTATCATAAATTTTCGTAACTTCATTTTCTTCTATAACTTCAAGTGTAATTATTTACATATACATACTTTATAATAAAAATTTCTTTAAGTAAGACTTATTTAACAACTTTTTCGTAGTTTTGAAAACTTTTTTGCAATGTATATTCAATTTCTAAGAGTGTAAAGCATTATTTCAAAATTTATGGTTTTTTATAGTATTTTAAATTATCATTAAAAGCAGTTTCATTAATAAAAAAGAAACAGATTAAAATCTTGTAATTTAATTTAACAATTTCTGCATTTTTTTTCTTTGCTTACGATCTTTCATGCCGAAAAAAAAAATTTTTTGTGTTATATTTTATTTGCGGAATTTTCTTTTTTTCTTCTTTTTTTTTTAATAACTCTCTTTATTAGTGATAAAAGTCGTCGCGCAACGCGATAACCTTACAAAGTATCGGCACAGACCGAATTTTCTTTGTTTAGTGCTGTATGATTTTAAGACATCCATTAAAAATATTATTAGTTCTAATGGATTCTAACGCTCATTTTTCGATCACAATCATTACAATCGCAATTTGAACCATATTAGTTACGGTATTCTTTCCATAATCATTCGCTAAATCCTTGTTTTCTTTGTCCAAGTTCATTCACGAGATTAGTGTCACGGGTAATATCCGAATTACGAAATAATAAATGAACATAAATATATTATATAATAATTATTTATGTATATCATGTTTAATCACTTAATCACGAATGATGTATTATGTGATAACGTATTTGTAATGATCTATTTAATCACTAATATAGTATTAATACAACGATTACAACGTATACAATATAAACAATCATTTAGCCCTCAAAACGTGATATTTACTTCCTAATTAATATGATTGAGGCCGTTCTTCAATTGTTTATTATTAATATTATGATATTTTTGGTTTAGGTTTGAGATGAACATACGGAAGTAAGGTTAATCTAATATCTACATTATTTGATTACAATCGATTTAGATTAAATCTATTTTTAGATAAATATATTTTATTATACAGTATATATGCGAAATCATAACTTAATTGTCCATTCTATGTTAATAAAAGTTAGTTTAATAACTCATTTTGATACAAAATAACTGAATATTTTTTCTATTAATATAAAAAGGCTCGGATTTTCTTTTCATAATATATTCATGCAATAAGCCGATTTTTTTCTTATAAAATATATATATATATATATTTTTTTTTTTTTTCTTGAAAAAGAAAAAAATGTAAAATCATACATTAAGCACAATTATGTTAATAAATAAAAAAAAAAAGAATAAAGATGATGAATTGAGTATCTTGTCTTCTATAAAGATATTTAAATGGACGTTTAGATTAAATTTAATAATTATTTACAGACTCAAAGATTATCTCGAGATTATATTTATAGATATATCTTCTAATGAAGACGTATGTACTGTACATGGTTTAATATAAATTTTATATTTGGTGCACTGTAGCACAACTATAAAATATTTTTTTTTTCTGTTATTCTTATATAATCAAGCATAAGCAAATCATTGTAAATCGATTTTCAGGAATATCTTTCGGGATCAATATATTACTTCGGGATAATGTCTTTTCGGGCAAAATGACATTCAATATTCAATAAAAATGTCCATTCATGATTTGTCTTATCGATAAGCAGGTAATGAATATCGAGAAATTGTAATGTAACATCCGAATATTATGTATAAATTTTTACTAAATTTATCAAACAGAAAACGCATGTAAGTGAATTAATAATTTTGATATGCTTATCCATTCCAATGTTTAAATTTGGACTGAGAAATAAAAATAAAATATTACCACGTTAAAAAAACGCCACAAATGAATAAACTGGAGCTTAAATTATTTTGTATTAGTTTGATTAAATCCTGCGCCTTAATTTGTGCCTATCACGTTGGTCACTTGTGAAAATGAGTAAGTGAGTAACGTAGATGGCGTGTGTAAAATAAAGTCACATGTTTATCACGTACTCTATTTATTTGTGTTTACCGTTATTTTTCCCACGAACTAAGAATATTTAACTTTTTTATTAGATTCTGAAAGAAAAGTGCGGAATATTGTTAACGAGATTTGGGTGACTAATATGAGTTCATTTTACAATATAGGTTTAAGGTTATTCAGCAGGTATGGAACCACTCAAATATTAATTTTATTGAAATATTCATAACAATAATAATACTTTTGTATTGTCGGTATAATGTACCTGTCGGTTAAATGATTGTCGGTAAAATGTGTGTGTCAGCAAAATGTCGGTTAAATTAATTGCGGTAAAATGATTTGTCAATGCGACCCATGATTTGTCGGTGCGTTGAATGCGACTCATTCACGGAACTTATGGCCTCAAAACATGGAAGTTATCCAAGTTGTTTTTATTTTTCTGCAAATGTATCAGTGTAAGATTGTTTTAAATATTAATTTTTATTATACTAGTTTGAATATTTATTGAATTAGTACTTTTTTTATGTGCGTTCGAAATTGAAATCATTTCATTAAAAAATAATACCTATTTATTTGCTTATTTAAATTGATTTTATCATAATAAAGTGTGTAAAAAGCATTAATTTTTAAATGTGTGAATTGTTTAGTTTGAAAATTTAGGTCAACTTTTATTGAATTGACTATTATACTGCAACTATTTTTACAATGTTTTATTAATTACGTATAATCTGAAATTTTTATGCTTGATTTATCAACTTGAATAAAGCTTGTTACTTGGACCTTCATATATCTAATGTCAATATACTGTATGTTTTACCTTCTTTTAACGATATTAAACTTTGAATATCATTAAGAACTTGTTGTGAAGACATTTTTTTATGAAGAAAAAAATGGTTAATGAAAACCCGCATAAGACACATAAAAGACACGTAAAAAATACTCTTTATCTCGTTCCTGATTGGTTGTCAATAACTTTTATTTGTGTTTCGACCAAAAAAACCCAATAAAATTTTAGCTCACGTTGTACAAATTGTCCGACATCGCTGGAAAATGTGACCAACTGAATGCCGAGCCAATATTCTGTTATACTAAATTCGGGTCTAGTGAAGAAAGAAATGCGATTAGCTACATTTTAAATTCTGTATGTCTTTTAAACAAATTCCGTAATTTAATGAACTTTTCTCAATAATTTATAAATTGGAGCATAGAACTGTTAATCACAGTTATCGGCATCAAAATTTTGTCGTGTCCCGTAATTTACTTTAACTTCACTATATAATCATAATAATTACTTAAACTTGATAATATCTTAAGCACAACTTCCTGCCTGGGTAGTTGTGAGAAGCCATCCGGCCATTTTTAGTTTTTAGTGAAATTTAATATACAACGCTTCCAAACATCACGGCGGATTTATGAAATACCCTAAATTTGTCCGTCATATCAAATTAAATAAATATTTGACAGTCTTTTAGTCACCAAATTTCCCAATTTATCAGTGAACAGTCAAAAATGAGCCCTAAAAAATTTTTTTGTACCCCAAATCTTGCGTCTAACCAATTTTTCCGTTACCTAACCAATTTTTCCAGTGTTAAAGGTGCGTCATATTTGACATTTTTTAGGAAAAAAAGCTTAATGTTTCTATAAGTCAGTTTTAATTCCCGAGGGCGCAGCAGGGTTTTTGCCAAATTTCATAAATCCACCGCAATGACAAGAAGCTGGACCAAATGACAGGCTAACGATGCCCAACGCCATAGAATAAGAAAATTCAAAGAAATAAAAATATAATATTCGAACTGAAATAAAGCTTTGCTTTATGATTATTAGCTTTCTAGTTAAGCAGAAGCTTTCTATGCTTATGAAAACATCAATTTATCATCAACAGCAAGTGTAGTATCTACAAATATTTAGACGAAAAAAATTAAAAAATGATATTCTTTATATATAAAAGTTTTGGTAGAAAAAAAAGGGGATCCATGATGAAATAAGATAGCAGTTGCGCCACACAATAATCATTGGGTGCGATTAAGAAATAAGCGTTAGTCACCTTTCATAAATAAAAGCTTAAAATTGCAATTAAAATAGTGCGATCTTACTGTTCGTTTTTTAACACATAGCTGTCATTCTCTTCATTTTCTTGCAATGTATAGTTGATATTCTCCTCATTTTCACGCAACGCACAAATTGCATTTTCCTCATTTTCTCGTAACGCACAAATTACATTCTCCTCATTTTCTCGCAATGCACAAGTTACATTCTCCCTATTTATCTGTAATGCAAAATCGACATTCTCTTCATTTTTCTGTGATACATAATTTATATTCTCTTCATTTTCCCGCAACGCACAATTAATATCCTCTTCAATTTCACGTAAAGTATAATTAATATCCTCTTCATTTTCTTGTAACGCATAGTTGACGTTCTCCTCATTTTCTTGCAACGCACAGATTACATTCATCTTTTTTTCTTGTAATGTATAACTAATATCTTCTTCAATTTCTCGTAACGCACAATCAATATCCTCTTCAATTTCACGTAAAGTATAATTAATATCCTCTTCATTTTCTTGTAACGCATAGTTGACGTTCTCCTCATTTTCTTGCAACGCACAGATTACATTCATCCTTTTTTCTTGTAATGTGTAACTAGTATTCTCTTCAATTTCTCGTAACGCACAATTAATGTCCTCTTCAATTTCACGTAAAGTATTATTAATATCTTCTTCATTTTCTTGTAACGCATAGTTGACGTTCTCCTCATTTTCTTGCAACGCACAAATCACATTCATTTTTTTTTCTTGTAATGTATAACTAGTATTCTCTTTAATTTCTCGTAACGCACAGTTAATATCCTCTTCAATTTCACGAAAGGAATAATTAATATCCTCTTCATTTTCTTGTGACGCATAGTTGACGTTCTCCTCATTTTCTTGCAACGCACAAATTACATTCATCTTTTTTTCTTGTAATGTATAACTAATATTCTCTTCAATTTCTCGTAACGCATGGTTAATATCCTCTTCAATTTCTTGTAACGCAGATTTTTCTTCATTTTCTGTTAATACATAATTGATATTCTCATCATTTTCTTGTAACGCACAGTTAATATTCTCTTCGTTTTCTTGTGACATATAGTCAACATTCTCCTCATTATCCTGTGAAATATAGTTGAAAATTCCATTTTCATGTAGCGTATAAATGGCATTTCCTTCATTTTCTTTTAGCGTATAATTGAAATTTTCTTCGTTTTCTTGCAACGCATAATTATCAATTTCTTGTGATGTCGTAAAATTGTCATTTCCATGTAGTGTCAAGTAACTGTCATCGTCATCTTGTGATGTATATTTAGTGTTTTCCTGTGGTGTTATATTGATTTCTCCGATTTTACGAGGTAATGGTTTATAACCTGGCTTGCTATCTGCATCCAAAAAAATTTTTAATAAATCTATATATAGTTCTTCAGACAGGATTTCTTTGTAAGGTACTGCTTTATAAAAAAGTTCTTTAGAAATTAAATCGTAAAAATTTAATAAAAGGTATGTACAATGTTTTAACGTATCGGTCGTATCCTTTAATCACCTTTTGAGTTAAGATTTCGCGCAAGACCCCATTTAAGAACATTTTCCCATAATTGAGTTTCACTCATTTGAAGATTATAATTCTGGATAAGCGAAATCAAAAGTTTTTCCGGAATTGATGGAAAGTTTAATGATTTAAATATTTTATCTGAGGATTTAGAAATTAAGTCCATACAATATTTTTGAAGCTCAAAGAAAGAATCATTTTCAAAACTTATTTGATATATTAAATTAAAATTTTGTTCCATCCAACTTGCTTTATTTTCAATCAAAAATGATTGTAAATAAAAAACTAATTCCTGAAGATGTAGCTGATTAGAAGAAATCAAAATTTTAATGATATCAATATTATCATATTCTTTCACAGATATTCTTCCCCCATAAATATACCTAAAATAAAAACAAACATTCATAATTTTTTTTAAAAAATAATAATAATAATAATAATTTTTTTTATAAAAGGAATAATAACTTGTTTTGTAATTTCGTTCGTTTCTTTACCTTAGGATTATTTGAAAAATTTCCGGTGAAATATTTGATAGTTTGATTTGTACTAAAGTTCCATCGTTCTTCTTTTTATTAGTTGATAAAATTCTTCGCAAATAAGAAGAACGATAACTTAAAATAACTAAATGAGCACGAAATATTTTTACGTAAGGATTATTACCAACTTCTATCGTAACATCATAGTATTCATCATCGTTTAGAATTTCAAGCAAATTTTGTGATAATTTTGGTAAAAAGTTTTCATCCATTTTAAATTTTTAAATAAAAAAAAAAAAAAAGAAGGAAGAAGATGATAACTAATCGTATTACAAATTAAAATGACATCAATGATCAATCATATTTATAATAACGACCTATAGTCGATTTTTCGTCATGTGAATTGATGTAGCTTAGTACATTATTGATTGTCGAACATATTCACAATACTTTATTTTAAAAATTTTATTTTGATTACATTGTACTTTCTTTTGTACTTTCTTTTGTAATATACAGTAATAGAAGAATCTAAGACCCAGAAATATATATATAGAGGTCAGGTGATGAAAAAAATTTTTACTATGAGCTGTACGCATTTTTTCAGGGTCGGAATTATGGTAATGTCAGTAGTTGCTATAATAGGAAATAAATTCTGACCGGAATTAAACCTGACACTTTATATATCTGTCAATCTTAACAGTTAACGTTAAAACATTTGAATAATTTAAATGGCACACTAATTCATTAAAATTTATTACATAAAAAAAAAAGAAAAAGTTGAAAGCTTATACTTATTAATAACTTAAAAATTTATCAGACAACTAAAATTATAAACTAAGAAATTTTGTATATGAAATCTTAATTTTCTAATCTTAGTGTTGAAAATAATTTAATACGACCGCTGCTATTATTGCGTCAGTAATTCTGATCGAATATTAGGATCATTGTGATTTTAATAAAAAAAAAAGTTATCGTTACTACATAAAGTTAGATGAATTGTTTTGCATACCATCAATAACTGAAGTATGATGAGAAAGCACGTGAGTTATCATATTCCCATATATCTTAATAATTTTAATGTAAAATTAATATTTATGAGTTTAAATAATGCGTCATTTTTAGAATATGCAAAATAAAGTTACCTTAAAAGATTGCTCATAATATTTGATATATTGTTCCTCGATTTTTCAAAATCGTCAACTAAAATCAAAAAAATCAATCAATATCTCATTATTTTAAATATAAATATAATTGTCGCCGGAATTAATTACTGCATACGGACGGAGGTTATACGTAATCCGTAATACTTCCGTAATGCCGTAATTCAAATACCGTAAAATAGAAAAAATATTTAAAATGCCAAATTAATAATTTGGTAATTCCGACGACACGTATAAATATAAATTACTAATAAACATTTACCATCAAAAGGAATCTGAAAGCCATATGATTTACTATGAAACGCTAAAAAAAAATTATAAAATAAATGTTAATTATTAATAAATAATTTATTATATATAAATTGTCGATTTATATATATACCTTCAAGTTCTTCTATTATTATTAAAAAAGAAGAAATGATCTGATTAATGATATATTTTATAAATAAACGTCGATTACAATACAAAATAATACCTTCTGTTGCATTCCTTGGTTCAGGAAAATTTTCAGAATTATAAATTCTACTTTTGCTGGTAGTGAAGTTTGATTCTGATAAACTATTTGTGCCATTTATTTTTAGATTATTATTTGCTTCCACATTTTGGCATGACATATTAATTTCTTTCATTATATTTCTGAGTTTGTAAATATCAGGTCTTTTCGATGGATCAGCATCCCAACATTGTTTCATTAATTTTTTATACTTTAAGGGAGTTCCGGTACTATTCTTGGTCTTATACCATTAATTATATTCATTGCAAGATAATAATTATGTTCATGATTAACAAATGGTGGTTGACCAGAGGAAATTTCCCACATAATCATTGCAATACTATAAATATCAGATTTAAAAGTATATTCTTTTCCAGCAATAACTTCAGGTGCTATATAAGGAAGATTTCCGTATACGCTTTTTGATGGTTTGTCTATAGGACCACAAAATCCAAGATCACTAATAAAGAATCTTGGATCAATTTGATTAAATAATATATTTCCGGAATGTAAATCTCTATGAATTTCATTTTCATTATGAATTTTTGAAAGTGCAAAAATTATATCAAAAATGATTTGTGTTCTTTCTTTCCATGTAAGTTGATTATGGTTCATTTTTAAATATTCTCTTAAATTTACATCCATTATTACGATCATTACAAGCATGTAATCTCCATTTGATTGATGTTTCGTTAATCCATAACATGTAACAATCTCTGAATATTTACTGCTTATAGTTAAATGTGATTTGGCCTGTAAAAAAAAACATGTACTATATAAATATATACTAATTAGATATAACAGCAGATAACTATGTCGCTATTTAGATTACAAACCTCTCCAAACCAATTATAATTAGCACTTTCAAAACTTCCTAGTCTTTTAAGTATTACTTTATGTCTTCCAAATCTTCTTAATTGTCTTTCATTAGAATCCCATTCATTGTAATGCCCATCAATCCAATCTGCTGAATAAATTTCCGAAAATCCACCTTTCGTTAAATAATTAATATTTTGTAAATTATTAAATGGAATCCATTCAATTATTTTCTCCGGTTCAAGTGATTCCATTTGACACTTTTGTATTAAATTATCAAGTTCATTATTTCCGGATGTCCACTTTAAAAAATTATCCTTTAAATAATTTCGTATACAATATTCACAATATAATGTAGCTAAACATTTTTGATTACAATTTTCACAAATTCTTTTTTTTCCTTCATTAAAAAAGATTTTATTTCGATCATAAATCTTTTCTATTTCTCTTTTTGCTTCAACCTTTTCATCATTTGTAAAGGAATCATCTTCAAGAACCGTTTTTTTTATGAATTCGAATTGTTGGTCTATATTTCTATGAATATTATGATCTACCAATATAATCGCTTTATTAATTGCAGCAATTAATTCTTTACGAATTGGAGGCATAATTTTTTTTTTTTTCTATTAATTTTCTAATTATTAATTTGAAAGGTAAAAAAAAAAAAGAAAGAAAGAAAAATGTGAAAAAAAAAACGATAAGGTTTTTCAGAACGGAGTTTTAGTTATTATAACTCCAAAATTTTACTCTATTAAATTAATCGTGTACAGCTTGACGAATGTGTCACAAGCCACTATAAAGTTTTTCTACATAATTTTCGTAAATTTCATTATTGTCGAACTTTCAAAAGACGCATTACTGTTTGTATCGTTTGAATTGTTTACGTGTCAATTATTATTTGTATTACGAGATTTTCATATACCCAATCATTATTCAACGTAAATGTCACATGAGTATAATGAATTTTGGTAATCAAGGGGTTATGTTAAACAAAGTATTTACAATCCGTTCAATCCGTGTATGACAGTATTTACATAATGATTGAAGAAACAAATAAGGGACGTTGGAACGAGTTTCTTTTTTGAGGGTGAGAATTTTAAAACCTGCTTCTATGTTCAACAGTGGAAGTAGTGTAGAAGTTAAAATAGAAAGTCATGAAATCCGAAAAAAAAAATATATAACACTAATAAATAATTGTAAAAATTACCCGCTAATTGGATTGCACAAATAATAATTTTTATTTTTGCGATACCTCTTCTCTCTGTTAAACAAAGTATCGACAGGAAAAACAACCCTACATGATACCAAATAAATAAATACACAAAAAACCCAAAGAAAAAATTGAGTTTAATTGAAATATTAAATATTATATAATTTCAATGAATTTCATCCTAATATATAAATATTCCCAGGGGTATTGTTTATACGATAATGGTATGATTGTAATTGCCTATTTTTTGTTAAAATAAAATAAAAATATTAAAATTTCGTCAAGCGTCAATGAAACCATTCGAGTTATTCATTTAAGCTGTAGTAGTACAACATGTACTATAGTATGATAGTGCTTTTGATTTAATTGTTAAACGCTTTTTATCGCTGTTTTCAAAATTATGTACGCATTTAAATTTGAATAAAAAAAAAGAAACCATTCGAATATATAATCACAAATAAACTGCGCACACCATGGCGATAAATTTAATAATAAAAATTTTTCACAATATGCGAACATATTTTATCAAGACATTTTAATTATGGATTTTATCGCAGTTACTACTATATTTGAATAAAAAAAAAAGGAATCCGAAAACCAGACGATAACCAGACTAATATTGATATTCGAATATTCAATCACAAATAAACTGCTCATATCATAAACGGCGATAATAATCTTATTACCCATTTACCCGTTAGTGAGGATAAATCTTTGTGATTTAAAATCATATTTAAATTGAGAAAATAAATATCAAATTATATTGCTTTTAAAAATTGATTTTATGATGAGGATAATTCCGAAAAAAACAATGTTTTGCATTTTTACTCTTATTTTTGTCTGAATCCATCCAGGAAATCATTTTTTTTTCGTTCTTGCATTATACAGTAAAATCAACTATTTAAAAAAAAAATTTTTTTTTATTTTATTCAAGTCAAACTTTATAATATTAAATTGGTATCAGGACATTTCCCGAAGCCATTTCGCCGAAACATTATTTACTAGGAAAACGGAAACCGTTGAGGGTCCCGTCGCTTAATACGTTTACATACATATATAAATGGTTACACAAAATGTGTTGCTAAAAATAAAGCGTTACAAAAAATGTGATACAAACATAAAAGGAAATAAGCAGGGGCTAAATTATAGTGACGTAGGTGGAAGGAAGGAAAAATACATGGGTTAAACCGGTACTGCAAATTTATCTAGTTCCGTACAATAAATAGTCCTTCGCTACGCTCCGGACAATTACATTTGTTTATTTTATTGTTTTTATACTAAATATCATACCTATAAAGCTACTTTCGATCATCAAAAACTGCAGTATATACAAATACATACAAAAATAAACTGCGTAAAAATAAAATAAACTACTAAATCTATATATTATTTTAATATTATTTCTAAATAAATGCTAGTAAATTCACGCAACATTCATTATTAATATTTCACGGTTTAATTTTTTAACTATTAACGATAGTCTTTGGTTTTATCCAATAGTGAGTCTTTCATGTACTTTTTTATTAAGGTTCCTGATGTAATTTAGTAAGTAAATAAAAAAATTTTTTATTTTCATTGCGCGATTAATATTTTTTTAAAAGTGAAAATCGCTATCATTTCTATCATTTTCGGCGAAATGGCTTCGGTGAAACGGCTCTTCGGCGAAATGTACCGTAACCATTAAATTACGACGAAAGATTAATGAAGTAATTAATACTTATAAAAAATTCCTTTTAGTATAATACGTACAAAAAACTTAGAAGTATAAACTACATAATATAACGAACTCGAATTTTCTTATCAACATGTAATAATTGTGACATTTAACCAAATACATCAAATATCTTTCGTTATAATGAATCAGCAAATTAAATTTTTTAGATTCTTCGTTATAATCTTATAGCGAGGCTAACTGTATTTGCCAACACATCACAAGTTTTTCAGTGGTTACAACAAACAAATATCTATTACTCGTTCATAAATAATAAGGATTTCACATTGTTTATGGTACTTCTACAAAAACAACTACTTATGAGTTTTACTTTATCAGCTATATTGTCACATGAAATGGGTGTATAAGATATAGTCATATTGGTAATCTGATTTTTTTTTTTTTTTAAAAAAAAAATAAGATTTACGTCCCTAATTCAGAACTTATTATTAATCAGCGCGCATTATGGATAAATAGATATACATATTGTTAATCAATTTGTTTAATTTATTTTCGAAGTATTATCATTTTCTTATCGAGGCTATAATCATGATATTGTTTAAATTCATGTTTTCATTTATAATAAAAATTCGGCCTTGTTAATTCTTTTGGAAGAGAAATCATTTTCCAAGTTTTCACGACCGCGATCAAGCTTTAAAACTAATACTTAAAATCGCTCACACGAAATATAATTTAAGGAGTAAAACCACAAAGAACATAATAGGTATTCCTAATATGGTGAATTCATTTAAATTAACGAATATCATACATAAAAGATACGGGTAATCAAAACTTTTGAAGCCTTGGAACATGTGACCACAATTGCATATTTCCGGCCAGAATTAAAGTCAATTCGGTTCCAAACTTCTACGGTAAAGTTGAGCAAAATGGTTTGACTTATTTCTTATTATTGACATCTATTAAACTACTAAACGGTTAACTGGGGACACAACCGACACATGATACTCTGGATGTCCCTATATGGTGGCTAATGGAATTACTGTGACATTAATTAGCAGAATACAAAAAGCAAATGAGGGTTATTTGGAAAATATTTCAAAACTAGCCAGTAGGACTAGGCGTTGTCCCGGTTTGCTAGCTAGTGTTTATAATATTTTAGTGTTAATTTGTTAAAAATTTATAAAACAATATAGTTTGTTATTGAAATATTGTAAATGTATTGTTTCACTATTAAAATTTATAAGTGCTATTAAAGTTATTAAAGTGAACTACTGTAGAAAACGGAAACCGTTTAAGTCCTTCCGTTGCATAATTCGCAAGTGTTACGTGTTTTATTTGACATATTTTAGGGTAGTGTTACATAATCGTGATATATATTCAAAAAAGGAAATAAAATTGTCGATTGTGACAGGGGTTAAAACAAATTTTGCTAGTTCAGTACAGTAAATAGTCCTTCGCTAACATTTCGGACAATAATAATTTCGATATGTACAATTTGTCACGTGATCGCTGTGTACTGTTTTTATTGGTGTATATTATAAATATTGCAGGGCATCGATCAAGGCAACGATTAATGTGTGACAATTAGGGTATCACACTAAAATGTCACCCTCTTCTGCAGGGGATCACATTTATCAAGTGATCGAACGTAATCGCGTCATAATCGTCATGTGCCTTCCACCACAAGCTACAAAAGTAAATTTTATTAAATTCGATAAAAATTATAACAATTCCCGAGTTCCATAATAAACTGCCCATCGTCACAATTACCATAATTAATCCACAAATATCCACCGATTACCTACTAGTTTAACGTCATCGCGGATGCTATATCACCATTCCTGACCCTATAAATCCCAATTATTGATGATTTAATTCATGAAAGACATAAATTTGCATCGAAATCATATATGAATTTTTTGCGCTGACTCACTGATCACAAATTAATAAAACAATTTGGAGTTGTGAGTTATTATAAATCATATT